AGAGCCCCTTGCTCCTGAGCACGCCTCTGGCTGCCAAAGACATGGACAGGCTGTGGTCTGACCTGGGTGCAGACAGGCAGCATCCTTCCCCAAAGTCTGTGAATTCCTCCTCCACAACAGAAATAACACAGTCCTGGCACAAGTGAGGGGTAATGCAGTATGTGGGCTTCTTGTAGGACAGGAAATTCATTAGTCACTGATTACATGTTTCCAGCTGCAGCTCTCAACATGTCCTGGGAACTGTGCATTAGGACATTGGTCCCATACCACAGAAAGGGAGATTTTTCCCTCATGCCATGTCTGCTAAAGCAGGAATAAATCTTAGAGATGCCTATGTCCTTTAAAAAAAGAAGAAAAAGTAGCAAAAAGGGAGCTAAACCTGTCACATTTTCATTGAAATTGACAAAGTGAGATCACCCACTGTGGCAGGCAATGCCCTCATCTCTTTAACTTTTTCAGCAGCTTATGAAGGTAAAAAGCAAAGGGAGAAAAGCCCCAGGACCAGGCAGCAGCCACTGATAACTCCAGTCTGCAGGAGCTCAGGGCTGCTTTTCCAGCCCCCGCTGTAGCTCTGCCAGTTGTTGCATGGGTGATTACAACACATCTCCAAGCAAGAGGCAGGGAAGCCTATTAAAAGCCATTACTGGGTCTGGCAGAGAAGCAATTAGAATAAGCTGCAAATAGCAGCAGCACGTGGGCAGCCAGCGTGGCGTGACAGGTGGGTGCTGCCATCTCCGTGGGCTGCAGTCAAGCTGCTGACCACCTGTAAGTAGCAGCTAGAGAGCAATTATTAGTCATTAATAATCCATAAGCTTGGTGTCCCAAATGCCTGGCAGAACACTAAACCTCACAGCTGTAAGGAAGGTAAATACTGTGTTCTAATGATTATTTTTGTTGTTAGGAAAACTGAGGCACATAGATGTCATGGTCAGCATTACAAGTAATCACACAAAATTTGAGGGTAATCAGACCTTCTGAGCTTCAACAAACCTATCAGACTAGGAGTGATCACTCTGTAAGGGATGCACAGAATAAGGAACCCATACACTCCTCATTTCAGAGGCTGCAGTTTAAAATTGCAGCTTCTCTGCCTTGCTCAAAGTCACACCGTAACTCAAGGGTGGGAACTTGAATGGATCCAGAAGCTTCTGGCTTCTAAAAGGACCAGCAGCTCATAGTTTGTGACATTTTTGGCTGCACAGCAGCCTGCTTCTAGTCCTGTTCCCCAGGAAAGGACTTTACATGTACAAACCACAGGGTAGTACCACTAAGGCATTGCTTTTTACTAAGTAAAGTCCCAGGAGTATGCAAGGGGATGGTGACAGCCAAATCCAGTCTACACTCCCTGTTGCAGCTACAAAATTTTCAGTGAAAATAATGAGATCACATTTTAAGTCTCTAAAGTAAAGGATCAATTCTGCCTGAGGGGAAAAATGTTGGGTTTTTAGTCAAGGACTTTGGTAAACCAAGCCTCTAAGGATTTCCTGCATCAATCAGTACGTGCTGAGAGGCAAACTGGAATGGAATTGCTGAAAGCAGCAACTAACAGACCATTGGAAAGCACCTCCCCTTCCTCTCTGCCTACACTGGGGCTTGCAGTGTTTGCCTGCTGCCATTGGTAACAGCCCACTTCTGAACCATGAGGCCAAGGCAAAGCTTGAAACTCACCTTTCACAGAGGCTATTGACAGCCTGCCCTGCCAGCTACTGGGGTTTGTTCGTATGAAATATTTCAAGATAGCCAGACACTAATATTTCCCAAACGCCAACCTTCACAGCAGCTGCTGCAAGCTCAGAACCAAGCTCAGGAGAACACACATCAACACAGTGATGGGAAAGTCTTCAAGAAAATCTGAACACCTTGAGCAAAACAGAGCTCAATCAGGCCATGTGGACACTGAGATACCCCTGTGGCTAGATGAGCAGTGTCCCCACCTCAGAGCTGTCAGTCCCTTTCCTGGGCCAGAAGAGTGACTGCTGGTCCTCTAAAACAGATTTCTGAGCAAGGCTGGGAAGAAAGCCTAGCTCTAAGGGATCCACTACTGCAGCAGTAGCAGAAATGCCTATAAAGGCTTCACCTTTGTACACTCCAGCAAGGCAGAAGGTCCAGAAACCCACCACAGAGCCACAAGCCCTTTTTTATCACTCCTCTCCTCTGCTGATGCTGTCTGAGAGCTCAGCAAAACTCCATGCCACAAATAACAGCCTAGCTGCTAATGGTGGGGTAGAGCTAAGTGTGTTTATCCCCTGTTGTCCCATCCTGGTGCAACAGAAATTCTTGCTAGAGGTGACCTGAGGAAGTCAAGCCGGAGGGATCCTGTGACCTTTACTGAGGAACTTGCCAAACCAAAACATTTCAGTGCTGGTGCTATGACATGAATGATACACTCTTGAATGGAGACCAAGAGGAAGAGCTGTCTGCAAGAGCCAAGCAAAACACTGTGGGCACACAGGAGAAGGAGCACCAGAGCTTGTGCCTGCATGGTTTTCTCTAAATAGGCAGTTCCAAAAAGCTTCTGTGATTTTCACAAGGATTAATACAGTCCTATTAATAAAATCTTGCCTAATACTAACAAATCATCCATCCTGAGATCCATTTCTTGCTAAGTTCATGGAAGACATGAGCCAGGGCAAGGGAACTCTCAGAGCTTCAGCCAGCTCTGCAGCAAGGCCACAGCCCAGAGCATGATGCTACCAGCAGCTCAGGTCCTGCAGTGTGAGAGGAACAGGCTAACCTGGGGACCAACCACTGCTCCCAAAGACAGGAGTGCAGGGAATCAGTCTGTCTCATCAAGGGCAAGGGCATGCAGACATCAACTGAGAGAGAAAACGAGGAAGGAACCACAGAAGGAAACAGAAGGCAATGTCTAGGGCAGGAGACCAAGCAGGGCACAGGTAAGGAAAAGAGCAGGATGGGGAATGGCAACAGGACCATGATGAAGGAAGAAAAGTAGATGGATGGACAGCTATTAAATGACCTTAAAATTTTAAAAAAAGGTGCACTTAGACCCCACCAAGAACTCCTTCCCCTGTTCCCTCCCCTCAGTCCCTCAAAACCACACAAACCAAAGCAACCTCTCCAAGATCACCCTACACTCCCTGGCCTGTGGATGAACACCATCTCCCCAGCCCCACGCTAAATGCCGTGCCTGCTGCCAGCACAGCTGGCCAAGAAGTGACCTCGTCCTGCCTGGGCTGGGGCAGAGCTGTGCCCTTGCTCCTGGGGCTGCCAAGCTCTGTGCTGCTGCTCCCTCCCAGCCCTGACCTGATCTCCCAGTTCTTCCCCCACCATGATGAGTGTGCACCTGTGTGCGTGTGCTCACATTTACTGACCTGCACATACAGGTGGATTTGTACACAACCCCCAGCAAAAACCCAGCTTACAAGGAGGCAGTTATCCACTGAGAGACTGCTACTAGAGATGTTACTCAAAGAACAAATAATAAACTTGTTCCTTTCTGTGCTAGTTCTCTCCATGAAATACAGGCCTGTGATATTTTTTTTAAACAGCAGAAGGCTGTCTAGTTATATTCTTGTTTCACTTTCAATATTCTTCAGCCTTAGTTAATTTCACAGGCCAGAGAACAGAGATGATTCTATGATTCCACTGGATCTGGCTCAATAGGATTCTTTCCACCCTATTTCCCAGATGTACATTTGATTTTTCTTATGTTACCCCTGATACAATAATCCTTCAGCTTGATGTTTTACATTGCCTCTTTTCAGCCCCTTGTTCTCCCCACAGCAGAGCTGGAAGGCAAGGAACTGAGGATCTCTGTTCTGAGCCAGCCCCCTGTATGTTTCTTCACCATGCCGGCTAACAGAGGCTCTGTTGTGCTCTGCACTGACAGAAATGTCCCAGCCAAGGGAGTGAAAGGCAGAGGACAGATTCATATTATACAATGTTAGTGCTATCAAAATACAGCTGGACCTAAAGAGCCTATTCAGAAGCTCTAGATCGTGCTTAAAAAGTAAATAAGGTGTCTCAAGCACAGCTGCCTTGAAAATGCAGCTTAGTGAAACATTTAAGACCATTTTACAAAGTAGTATAAGAAGCTGGGTTTGTTCTCTTGGTTTCCTTATGTGCCAAAAGAAAAATGGATGAGATTAAACTTTAAATACTGATGCAGCATGGTTGAGTAATGACTAGACAAATGGCATAATATTTTGCCAAAAGCATAAGACATGCAACTTACTGCCCTAGCTGATGCAAATTAGAGCTACTTTTAAAGTCTGTCATTAGGTGTGAAAACTACCCAGGCAAACAAGCCTGGGCATCTGCACCAGTCCTATCCCCAAAAAAGCAGTTTATGGACCCTATTGCTGTAACTCTATAATCCCCTCACCTGAGAGCCAGGGTGATGAAATGCATGGACTCTGCCCACAGGGAAAGAGAGATGCTGTTGTGTCTGCTTCGTTCTCACGTTACAAAGAACCATTGCAGAAAGCAAAACCTTGATGGTGAAACAGCTCAAAGCAGCAGCACTCAGTTCTTAGGGAGTTGTTCCCTCAGAATAACAAAATAGAGACAACCATAACAGTGCCAGGCTCACATAAACTGTGAGAGCTCTGAACCAAGCTATTGCCAGTGACCCAGGGACAGTACACAGACATCTTTGTGGGTCTGAAAAGCACAAACTCCCTGCTGCCTCCCAGTACTCCTGACCTACTTTTGGCCAATAGACTTCACCAAGGCAGGACATACTCCTTGCCTATGTGTAGGAGATGACTGAAAAATGTGCCTGCACACAATTCAACCAACTTGTTCTCCATTAACCTTACTATGATTTGTTTTTTCATCATCTGTACAGTTCATGATTTTGCAATAATCATTGAACTCCATTACTAAATCCAAGAAACATTAAAAATGTTTAGTTTTTAGCTTTAGGGTATTGTGAAAAGAATCAAGCTTATGAAAATAAAAGAGATGGGCTGATTGTGAGAGAAGAGCATTGCTGCTACTACCAGAGGAGTGATGCCAGTGCATTTGAGATGCCTTACCTTATCCCCAGGCTGTGGTCTCATAAGAGAGACTTGGTCATAGCCTCGTCGAACCAAAGCCCACAGGGCATCAAGTTTACCCTGCAATAAAAAAAAAAGGAGACAAGATATGACCAAGAAATGTGGTAAAAATAGCATGAGATTAAACAACAGGTGGGTTGGTACAGCTTTTCTGCATTAAGCTGTCTGCACACACACTGGTCCTGTACCCTGTGTGTGGACCCTTTATCTGGACAACCTGTACCCTTTATCTGGACAACCAGAAGAACCTCAGTGGAGAAATACCAAATATGCAGGCAGGATGAGAGGAGGTTATTGTGAACAACTCCCTTAAGAGGCACAATTAGACAGGTGTTACTTTAAAGTACTAACCTTTAAATGTTACAAAAGGCAGAACAAAAGTATGGTACAGATGGGAAGAGAACTGAGGCATAGATGAACAGCCAGAAGAATACCTGCCTAGGCAGGCTTTAACATTCACAGATGCTTTCCAGAAACATTCAAGCACTGTTTAACTGATCTGTGAGTAAGCAGGGAAAGGGGGAACTCATCTCACAAAGCACTGTTTTGGGACATGGTCATAGATTCCTGGGATGAGCAAAGTATGGCAGCCTTGACTGTGCTAGCCCTCCAGCTTCCTTCTCTGCAAGCAGAGGTTACAGCTCTTCCCTGCCTTTAGGGTTGTGTGAGGATACATACATTAAAAGACATTGAAACACCAGATATTATAATGACATGGGAGAACTGAGGGTGAAAATACGGGGAGACTGAGTGACTTGCCCAAAAACCAAACACCACTGTCTTGTGGTTGAACTAAGGGGAAAGAGATCTGCATCCCAGCCCAAGCCCTTAGCCACAATGCAGTCAAAGCAAGGACAGTGCCCTTTATCTGATCCTTTTCTATGCTGCCTTCAGATGGCAGAAAACAGCATCTGCCCTCCCTAAGGTTCAAGGGATCTGCTGTTGCACACCAGGCAAGAGAACCTGAAAAGACAGCATGAGCTGAGGAAAGGAAGATCTCTGCTTGTGCCCTCTACTCTTCTCAAAAAATTATGGCAACACAGTGCCAAGTGAAATACACATTCCAAAACCAGGCAAAGGTGAGAATTAATGGCCACTTTTCTAAATAGTCTCACTCAGCTCTGCTGAAAGAAAGGCTGTGCTAAGGAAGTGGGATACAGTATCTTGCAAGACACAAAAGACTTGCTAAAATGGAGGCTCAGACACATTACCTTGATTGGAGTGTACCATTTTCGCTGGGAAGGTGGTTTTCTCACATGGGGCTTCTTTGGCTTGGGTTCCCACGGTTCATACTCCTGTTCTGGCAACTTAATAATAGCATTTTTGGGTTTCTCCAATTTTGCTCCTTCCTCTGTCGACCCCTTGTCTCCCCATCGCACCTGATGTCAGGAGAGCACACTGTAAGGAGACACTTCAGCAGTCCCCACAGGTATTAATCTAGTTCCCATCAGATGACCAAGTGCTACCAGAATTAAGTCAAATTTATGAAAGCACCAAACTCCTACCATAATCAGAAATACACATTTAAGAATAAAACAGTCTCATTCAAAAACTGCTGGAACTACCAGCCTTTGCACATTCCAGCAATCTAAGGTGTTGTGGGAATTCACAGCATCTGGGGCAGATGAGAATCATTAACGCTGGTAGGAGCTCTAAGATGACTGAATTAATCCAGCACCTACTATACCATACCTCAAGTGCCATATCCACACATCTTTTCAACACTTCAGGGATAGTGATTCCATCACTTCCCCAGACAGCCTGCTCCAACTCCTAATCACCCTTTCAGTGAAGAAATTCTTTCCAGTATCTAATATCTTAATATGTGATTTTGTTGTCTGACTTAGCTCAAGCAGAGAAGTGACTCTGCATTCAAGAACAATATATGATCCACGGTGTCACAGTCAGCATACATTCTCAGCATCAAGGATAAAATTCTTCCAAGGAAAATGGTTAAGGATATTAAGATGTAATACTTCATCTGCAGTCTCGCAGGAAGTTGCTGAGAAACCTCTCCTTTCATAGAAACCAGGCACTGCACAGACAGCATCCTCAAAAATAAAACCAGTGTAGCTTTGCCTGAATTTCCTCTGACAAGAGAACTGGTTGCAACTGCACCAAAGGGTTTGACTCACGAGATTAAAACTTCTTTTGGTGCTTATCTCATTTCTTAGCCTGCAAATTTTCTCTGGCTCTTAATGCTAGATTCATTTAATTATTCATGCAAATGACAGCAGCTTGATGCCTGTTATTTGGACAGCAGGTGTGAATTAGGTACACAAGCCCTGATTAAATCCCGGACTCCAGTCCTCTTCAAGAATCACATGAAAACACAGTGGAACAGTTTTCAATTAAATGTGCTGGGGTTTATAACACTAAAGAATAAGCCAAATACCTCCATCCTCTTAATCCCACCAACACCTCGGCCTCCATAATAAGATGCATCCACGGTTGGCCACTTCTTCTTTGGCAATCCATCTTCATCATCTGAGTCCTGTGGGAAACACAGGGAGATATTAATGCTGCTCTCACATAAAAAGCATAAACTGTGGAAAACAGCTGAACATCCTATGGTCCAACCCTTGGATATCTGGCTTTATATTTTATGCTTATTTGCTGACAAAAACTAAGGAAGTCTCTTGTCTCTGCAGCTGCAATTTTAACTAGGGAAGCCAGAGAGGATTGCCTATTCCTCTGTCCAGGCTGCTTTTATTTAATCAAATATGCATTGAGCTCCAAAATCTCCACTGATTTGTAAGGAAAGGCAAAGTATAGATGAATTGTACATAAACTGGCTTGCCACTGTGCTATGCAGAAAATGCAGTGATGAGTTGGCCTGGAGAAATAAATTCTTAATTGCACTTTTAGAACTTAATGTCACCTAACAGAGGAAAAAAGTGACCACTGTTGAGTTTTTTAACATATGCATCAGATCCTTTTCTCATGGCAGCTGTAACCAGTAATTCTACACTATTTGATGCTTTGTGGAGTCTGGCTCAAGTTGTACAATTTGAAAAAGGATTCAGACAGGAGCATTTCACAGTTGTTAGGGCAATCAGAATCAGAGCAATCATAAAGACAAAGATTCCTTTTCTGAAACATGTGAGAGTCTGAATCAGGAAGTAACTTCAGGTTCATTTTTCTGTTCTTGCCTAACTAAAAGCTGGCAAATGGTTCTGGTTCAACAAGCCTGGGAACACATCTCCAACTCCAGCATCTTGACGATTTCTCAGACTCCATATCATTACACTAAGTCAAGATACCTGAAAGCCCCAGCCTGACACTCTCCAAGTACACACATAGCTGAGGAGAAGGCACAACAAACCTCCTACAATATTTCCTTCATTCCTCAAATAATTGTACCTCATGCTTATATGCAGACATGCATGCTGGTCTTGGACTGGCCATGCACAGTGCTCATTGCTACTGTTCCTCAGTACAAGGATGCTGCCAGAAACACTACCTGAACTTATTTTTTATTTAAAAAAACCAAAAAAATTAACTAAAAAGCCAAATACTATAGATAGATGTAAATTACTGTTACATCACTAGATGGCATTTTCACAAAATTGCCCTACACGTTTCTATTGGAATGGAAAAGGAATTAAGAGCTCAAAAGACAATAACAGCTTTTTGAAACCAGGCTTTAATATTTGTTTGTTTGTATTTACCTCTGAGATTATGCCTTGGAGAAAGGTTTTTCAGTGGTCTCTCAGCTACAGTTCAATAGGTCAGTTCCTCCAACAAATTCTTTACTATGGCCAGTCAAGACTAGAGCTGACATTTGCATTAACAAGTAAGGGGAGTTTGAGTTTGGGGTTTTTATTGTTGTGGTTTGGCTTTTTGGTGTTTGTTTAACCTTTTTTTTTTTTTCTGTTATTTTGTTTTATCCTAAATTGGGAAAATAAGTATACAATGAAGGTATTGTGGTTTGGTGTTGGATTTGGTGTTGTTTCAGTAAGCTTTTTTTTTGGAGAGTACAACAAACACACAAATTTTATCCCACTTCATGCCAATCTAAACCAGTACCCAGTGAACTGCATCAGTGTTTTAATATTTGATTTCACTGTGAACATGAGTACTATTTAAGATACTCTGCCTCTTCCATGCAATGTAACACAGATTGCAAGTGTTCATGTCTAACAGCTCTTACTGCTGGCAAGCCTGACTCTAGCAGGGCAGAGCCAACAGTAACAGCTGATACTCCTCTAGTTGATAAAGGATTTATACCAAATATCCCCTACACTGAACACACAGCAAAGCAACATTAACAGCTACCACATGGAAATCGAATGCTTGTGCTTTAGAACAAGTTTTACACACCTATATTCAGTTTAATAGCAGCAATACCACACTGTATCAGTTGAAGGGCAGGTCACCATACCTAGGGAGCCTAGTAAATACTAAGTGTAATGGAATTCATCACACAGTTACAGTTATTACAATGCATGACTATTACAACTCATGCTGGATAAAGACAAGGCCAAGAAAAGGGATGGATAACATCTGTTTCTGTGTTGTTCCTGGAGGCTTACATCAGTTCATTCTCTTTGATTGCATTTAAAATTGCAAAGCATCTGGAACTTCTGCAGGGCTGTAATGCTCTCTGAAACCTCCTTCAAATGCAGCATGGCTGCAACTGCAGGCTTTGTGATAGCACTAATCACACTAACCCCAGCATGAATTCTGGTGTGCATTCTGAAGTTAAATTGTCACAGTGCTGCTGCTCAGGACAAGTAGCAGGATCACATACATGCTAGTGGTGGCCTCTAGCAACCTCAAAACAGCAGCTGTGGTTGCCTCCCTACATTCATGCCAAGTTACAGCAAGTTAACAGTAAACTATAAGCTTCCCTTGTGGGTTAGGCAAGTATTTTTCCATTATTTCATTGTCTATGCCTAGGAAAGACATGAAGGCAGGCATAGGTTTTCTCTGGAGGTGCTTTGATTTGCTACTATTATTTTCATGAAACTAGTATGGTGAGACTAAACTGAGGTCAGGGTCAGTGAGTGACTGTCCCCAAAAGAGCTGAACATAATCCTGCCTCACACAGCTCAAAACCTAAATGGAGAAAGGCTAAATGTCCTTCCAAAGGTCACTCTGCAGAAGAGCCACAGCCAGGGCAGGCTTTGTCTCCCCTCCTGTAGCAAAGCCACAAGAATGTGGCCTTTGCTGTCCTTTTTTCCAGCTGCCAGACTGTTCCTTACTACCAATCTGGGCTAAACTCCTGCTGAGAACAATGGCAGCTTTACTGGAGGAGGGACAGCTGTCAGCACAGCTTGAGAAGCAGAGATTTGCTTACACACCTGTTTGATGCACAGCAGAAGGAACAAAATACCATAGGAACTGCTGGCCTGTGGATTTTTGAGCTATGCAACTGTTTTCACCCTGGATGGAAGCAGTTTTGCTGTATGTATATAAAGAGGCCAGGAGGCAAAAATAAGTGTCTGACCCAGAGCACTTCCTCTCATAGCCTTTAAGATGTCATTAAGACACCTACAGGGCTGACATTCCTGGGCAGCATGGCACACTACAGTGCTGCAGGCAGTGCCACAGCTCAGAAATAGCACACTTACAGGCTCTGGAGGTGGTGGTGGAGGTGGCTCCTTGATCACCTGCAATAAACAAACAATGGAGAAATCTGAAACAATGGCAGGGTTCATCCTTCTCAATAACTATATCCTCCCTGCTTTCTTGCCCATGTCACAAATGAGTCACTCTGCTTCATTCCCCCCATTCAATCCTCTCATTAGCCTCATGGAAAATGAACCCAGATGAGATGAAAAATACCATATAATTACCAAGTTAGTGCAAAGATATTATCTCAGAATCCGCAGCTCCTCTGAATAAATTAAAGAAACCCCAACAAACAAAATGCAAAAAAAATTTGCCTAAAGTGCAAATTGTTGAACCAGTGCTTTACAAATGTGGCAGTTTTTTAAAGCAAGGTTAATCACCCGCTCCAACACTTTAACTGGCAAAGACTATATGAAACCAAGTCAAGGGAATAAAAAGACTTTACTTACCACTGTGCAGCAAAGGGGCCAAAACCACCACAGAAGAGCCAGAGCCAGCAGCAGAAAGAGAATCAGAAGAGCAATGAAAAGGATGGTCCCAGTCAGCTGCAAACAAGATGATTATTTCTGAGTTACTTTTATATGCCTCAAAGAAGGCAGGAGTCCTGAAGTTACACATTTAGAGTCAGATTTCCACCACTATGAGGTCTCAGATGCCCTATCCTCAGACTGTACTGGGTTCTGGAATGATACTAACTTTAGCTCTGATGTTTAAGCCTTTTTTTTTTTTTTAATATACACTGGGAAATGAAACTTCTTCAATGGTAGATTTCCCACATTTGAGAAAAGGTTCAATTCACCAGCAACAGAGATATCAGGGAACAGGAAAAACTTATCAGGAAACTAGAGGAAAGCCTGGGGCCTGTCAATCAGGCTGAGGAAGGAGGAGGAAGGAGGAATTGGCTAGAGAGGAAGTTGTAAGAGATTTTCAAAGGATAGGTGAAAGGATAAAGGGAAAGAAGCCAAATTCCAAAAGTAATTTCTATGTGATAAAGTCAATGAGATTCACCCTATTATACTGAAACTTGCTGAATTTCCATGACACCAGAAACTGATGCTTAGCCCCTTCTTACAACAGGGATTTCCTTCACTATTCTAAGTGCATTTGTTTTCCCCTCACACAATGAAAAAGCTGAGAGTGGAAAGCACCAACTGGTAAGAACTTTGCAAAGTCTAGGTGAGATCCTGAACGCCCAACTTAGATGGTACCTAGTTCTCTCTCAGGCCAATTCCTAGAGCTGCCAGGACTGACACATTCAATAAGGGACTAACACAAACACAGCTCCTACTCCATGCTTTTAAACAGGTAACCTAGTATCCCATATCTGAGTCACAGCATTGCCATCCCTACTCTGCTCTGCGGCTTTTGGTTAACGATGCAACAAACCCACCTGTGTTAGGATATGCTGTCTGGCTCACCTTCTTTTGGCCAGGGAGCAGCTGGATTGCCCAAAATGTGCCAAATGTCCTGCTCAAACGAGTCCTGTTAGAGGACACAGTACCCAGCTGTAGTTCAGTGCTAAGCCCCCCTCTCTGTCCCTCCCATGGCCCCATGTACAACTAATGCATCTGGAAAGCAGATACTTAAAGAGAAATGAATTCTCAGTAAAGCCAGACTGCTGAGTAAAAATCAAGCATAACTTTAAGAAATATTGCTGCACTCCTTAAAAACAAATCCAAGTACAGTAGCAATGCAGTACCACTGCTACTATTACTCCAAACACACATTACCTCCTTGTTTTGTAGCCTTTTTTTCCAAGCATTGCTTTTCCCATGCTAACTGCACATATAAATTGCTGAGACATTTGCCAGCAATAGCTCAGGAGCCGCTGGCAGCAAGAAGCTAAAGAGTCTTCTTTTAATGATTTTAATGATACAAAGCTCCATAGTGAAGCTGGACTTTGAAAAGAAAATAGCAGACTTCATGCAGCTGAACAGAAATAAGCAAGGGGATCACACAGAGGCTTTTGGATTATAGTGAAGATACTTACTGTACAGAAAAGACAGAAGGACCAGCTGGGGAGGAGAGCTGAGCAGGCCAGCTGACTGCCACCCACAGAAAAGGAAACAGGAGGGGAAAGGAAATGGAGGGAGTCTCTAAAACAAGAAGAGTGAAACGCATGAAATTAAGACAAAGTTGGAAACTGGACTGCCAACCTAGCTGCTTATAGGACAGAACAGGAGCAAGACAGTATTTTTCTATCAGCTGCAAATCAGGCTTCCTGCCTCCTTCACATTCAATCTGCAAGAGGCTGGTCAAAAACTGTCAGATTGACATGACTGGAGATTGGATTCCTTTTTCTATCCTAAGGCTACCAAAAGGAAAAGCTTCCTCCATCCATGCTCTGGCCTTTAGGAACCCTGGTTAGGGTTGACACTTCAGTCTTCATCAGAAATAGATTACATATGGGTAACTAAATGCATCAGTTAACACTTCTGCAGACTTGAAAGGCTTTACTGTACCTGAGGTAAAAGAGTGGAATTAAATGTGAAAATATCAGTCCTCAGTATGGAAAACTTGGAAGAAAGTTTTAGCAAAATAAGAATAATCCCATAAAGAAACAAACACATCTCTGCTGTATTGTTTCCCTACAACCCAGGCTGTTCAGCATTCTGGTGTGATATTTCACACCCTCATTGCTGCAAACATCAGAAAATTAGATTTACAAGTTACAGTCACTTCTATGTGTATTCCTGCCCTCCTGTTCTCCAGCTGTCAAAATGGCTAACAATGATTACAAACCAATATGACAGCATTTGGCATAGGCTATAAAAGTCCTTTTGACACTAATAACAATGATACAAACTGCTATCAGGTACTTCAGCCAGCTTGATTTAGACTACAAGCACAAGGTCACATATTTAATTACTGTACTTGCTCACACCAGCTCTCAGCACTGCCTATTTTTACCCCAAGGCAAGAAAGACAACTCCTTATCTATTAGTCAGTTTCCTAATTTTGTTTATTTTATTCTAAACATCAGATTTTGATAAAGGATCACTTCTAGCTGTTTGTCCCTGACACTCTACCTGGTCTTTTTGACCACATGATGCAGGACAGGCATCATGTCCTTTCTCTCTGTGGTCTTTCCAGATAGAAGTCCTAAGAGTTGTGCCTTTTACCTTAAATCCCATCAGGGACCCCAAGGCTCAACAGTGTTGCTCCCTGATGCTCCTGTGATAATTTTCTCAGGTCTCCTTCTGTTAAGATCCTAGTTTTGAGGATCTCTCTCCTGGGGTAGGAACGGGCAGGGTGCCTCTTACTCTAATTTTTTACTCAGAAAATCTATTAAGATCTATCCACCATCAATAACAATTTGATCTTAAGTAGCCCTGGTTATTTTCCCAAGAGCTGCTGGGATCAGTCAGTAGCAGTGACACAGAAGCTGCAGAGAGGTCAGGCTCACTCAAGGAGGCTTTGCCTGGAGAACAACCATTTCTTTGCAGGGTCTCATGGTTCCTCTGTCAAGCCCCATTGGAGTTACTCACACAATGTGTGCTGGTGATGCTGACAGAGCTGGAGATGAACGTTAGCCCGTTGTTCATGCTGACTTGTAGGAAAACCACCCTAGAGCACAAAACAGATATGTTTATTTTTAGTGTCATCTTTACACCCATTGTTACCTTTATTCTGTCTCTGTTTTAACCACTGGTTTATGAATCTGCATGGATAGTGGGTCCTGTTGAGTCAGGGCATTTTCATGGCCTCAGGCATTTACCTGCATTTGCCTCCCTGCTTACCCAGGAGCCAACCTTTTTATGTTACCTTAGTTGAGCAGGGACATATGCTTTTTATTAAAAAAACCCATCCCACCTGGGGCAAAGAGCACCAGGACACTGAGTCATAACAATGCCTCAGACAACAGCAATACTACTGTACATAGCACAAGAAACTAAAACTTTTTTATTTATTTAAAGAAATCCTTCTGTTAATGAATAAGAGTGTAATCTTTTGTATCCAAGCAAATCCAGAACACCTGCACTGAGATCAAGAAGGGTAAAAACACTGAAATGCCAGTGAAATTCAAGAAGAATTTTCCCTAGCCATTCTCCAATATCAGAGAAAAGGCCCAGGGAAAAAATTATTAAAGCAATAATAAAAAAAATGACAAAACCCCACCAAATTAATTTCCTTCACCTACAAATACAAAAGGCAAGAGAGGCATTCACCTGTAGCCCCAGTACAGCATTTAAGCACCCACAAGATCACCTAGGAAAAAGGTAGGTTGGACATTCTGCCATGTCTCCCAGAAGTCTACAGGACTAAAAAGGCTGAAAAATGTCAACACTAGACACAGCAGAGCAAAATACAGGAAGCAACATATGCAATAACAGCAAAGGAATTCAAATCAAGCATCTCCTTTCCATGAAAATTAAATGTAATTGTCTTGAATGTAATGAACTGTCTTGAAACAGTCTTTGGTCTGAAACAACAGGATATAGGAAGAGAGGAGGAATCACCATTCTGTGATTCTATGATATGGGGCCATGGTCCAAGAAGATCTTTGGTTAAACTGTGCTGAAGACCCAACACTGAACAGAGCTATGCTGGCTCATATTAGGAAAGGATTCGGTACAAAGCAGATGGCTGCAATATGACACACACACACACACAAATTTACGATATCTTCACCCAGAGGTCCACCCTCTCAACACATGCTGAAATGCAATACTCACTGTCCAGCATCTTCTATCACGGGGGCAGGGCAAAGCAAGTATGTATCATGAACATAAGTTGGCTTTTCACCTGAAAGGAAATGGATATAACTCTCAGGGATGAAAAAATTAAACTGTTTCAAGCAGGCCACCCCCTTGGGAAGTGCTGACACCAATGACAGCCACAGATGAACTCAATGTATTGGCAAGTACCAATACTCCAGAATGGTGCTGATTACAAATCCAAGTACTAGAATAACCATTCATGTTGATGCCAACATGATGCTATCAGGCTAGAGATACCACAGCTAAGAATTGGACATTTATCTCTGTTCCTGACAGCAGTGTGATCAGCCATTTGGAATTCAGCTTTGAGCAGTATTCATCATGTCTATCTGAAAATTATGTGCAACCTCTACTCACACTGAATAGTCCTCAAGTTACTCAAGGGCTCAAAAGCTTAGGGTTCAATTTTTGTCTACCTATGTTCAAATACACAGAGAAAGAAATCCAAGGCTGCACTGTCTGAGCCCAAGAAAAAGGAAGGAGAGGGATGGGGTGGAGCTGAAATGGAAAAATATTGGGGGAAAAAAACCAAACCCAAGAGACAGTTGATCATTTACAGGAAACAGGCCGAGAGGGGCCATGACTGATGTTATGTTGAGGATCTGCTCTGCTTCTCCTGGACCCATCCCCTCTGTGGCAGCATCATCTGTAAACAGCCCATGTTTCTATCTAAGGATTTGGTGCAGGCAGGGTCAAACACAAGGGCACACATCTTCCCACCTAAGGAGGAAGCATTTCACTGCTCCAAGATTCAGCAGTGTTAATCCCATCACTTTCAAAAGTCACACCCAGAAAGCCAAGTCCTATGAATACAGACAGGAGGCCCAGCAGTAATCCTGCACTGCCACTCCACCAAAGGTGTGTAAGCTGAGGCACAAGAGCAGATACACCACTGCAGTGACTGCAGCTTAGCTCTGAGTGACCAGCAAACAGCTGTGCTGCCAGCCTGGACAAAGAGTGGTCTACCTAAGGGAATAAAGGGCTGATAAAGGCTGCCATCTTATTTATCCTTTTGAGGCTTTTTTACTCTTTATGTAGGAAAAAAATTGACTCAAGCAACACAGATGTAAGAATTGTTCCTTCATGCTTCACCCACTTCAAGCACACCTGAAGACAGAACTCATTTCCCTTCCATGCAGAGATAAGGGCATGGAAATCAGTGATATGCTTTAGGGAGGGAAAAAAAGGCATCACCAATCAGTATCTCATCACAACATCTGTTGCAGATTTAACCCAAGGAAAACAGCATGGATTTGGAATGTAATCAGAGTAGTTTTCTTCCTGTGTATTTCCAGGCCCTGGTGAGCACTCACTGTGTGAAGTCCAGTCAAGGTGCTAATGATTGGGGTAAGGGAAGAAAAAGCAAAAAGTCTAACTGATAAACCACAAAAAACAAATCCTGGTTAAAGCATATCTGTAAGTGGAATAAATGCAAGACCACCAGAGCTGTTTGACTGCAGCATCAACATAGACAACCAGGATGGGAAATGAAGGAGCAATTAATGTGTTCCCTCTTGTAAGTTAATTCACAGCCTGGGAAGGCACTAGTCTGGCCACGACAGCATATGAAAGCTGCCACTGTGCTCAGGCCACAAGGGCAGCATATATGAAATAGGAGCAGAGCTCCTCTCCCCATACCATATTTCACTCTGCCCAACACACATGGCTTCTCAGGAATGAGAGAGGACTGCTGAGAAACTGGACACTCCATCTTTTTTTGGCCATTCAATCCTTTGCCTGGCTGCTGAGACAGCAAACAAAAGATCCTGTTCATCACAACAGGACAGGGGGTTTCCATGTTACACAGTCACTGTGATGGGACCAGAAACTGGTGTCAGAGAGGAGCAGAGTGCCTGGGAGGCCTGGCTTTATGGCAATTGTCTCCTGAACTGGTGACTAAAAACTCTGAAAGCACCACCAGTGGATCAAGATAGCAGTATTTCTTTTTACTGCTGATGGATAAGGGAATAGGAAACAATTTTAAGTTTCCATCTTAAAACCTGATCCTCAGTCCTCTTTTGCTGCATGCAGCACCCACGTGGATCACTGCAACAGTGCTAAGGTCACTGTACAGCCCCATGTCCCATGTAAGTGCTCACTACACAGTGCCCACAGGTCACTGCATTGAACAAGGATGAATTTCAAGCTCCTTTTAAGTGCACACCTCTACCCCAGCTCCCTCTCACATCTGCTGCAAGGGCTCCCCTTAACATGGATGAGAACTGGCCTGTGAGGTGACAGAGCCACAGGGGTCACTGCAGTCCTCCAGCCTGCACACTTACTGATAGTAAGGCTGTCATTGAGCTTGAAGCTGCAGAGCACCTGGTCGATGTTTCTCGCATGATAAAAGCCGTTGCCTCTCACCACAACTTGAAAGGATTCTGTAAGGAAAAATATTGAAGATTTATGATTTGTTTATGAGAAATAACTCAAATACAGCTTTTCTGTTCCGAGTGACCCAAATTAAAACATGACAGTTGCTGTTCTATGCCCTGTGCCTGAAATAAAACATCCCCACAGACACTCCCTCTATTCAGCAGCAATGTCCCAAAGTGCTGCAGTGGCATTAGAGCTTCAGAGTCTTCTCTTTGTCTCAAGTCAGCTCCCACAAGTGTAACACACAACTGCAATACCTTAAGAGTGCCACAGCAAAACTAAGTCTGACTTGACTGATGTCATCTCGTAGTTCCTTCATGGCTTTTGGGACAGACATCTTTGCCAACTACCTGTACCAGTCCTTCCTCCTGGCACCAGGCTTTCAGCAGAGCTCTGCTCAGGAAGATGGTGACAGAAAACTTGCCTCCCAAACCTCCTGTGACTCAAAGTTCTAACAACACAACAGTTTGCTATTCTTCCCTCCCTTTACTGTGCACAGGTAGGGCCCAACACAGAGCCACAGTCCCCTTTCTGCTGGGGTAAGCCTAAATTGCCAAACTAGGCACAAGATGCACCAGCAAGGGACATGGCAAGGGAAACTTCCCTCTAAGACACAAAAAGCCATTGTGGCTGCTACACTGACACCACAGAGGTAAGAACTTTAATGCAGGCAGGTGGAGAGACACGTTAGAAATTTGTTCTGTACCCAGCACACTTTTGAAACTCCCTTTGACACTGCAGATAAGCAGCCAGCTGACAGCTGAGATTGCTGGCACAGAGCAAGGGAAAGAACTCAAGTTGCACCTTCACGCATGACTTTCCTACTTTAACCAAATCCTCCACAGGGCTCTCACACCAGCCTCTGAGCAGCATTTGAGATCAGTCCAATGTAAGCGGTATAACAGCACAACACAAGAATAATTAGTCTTCAAGCTTCACATTGAAAAACATGAATAAATTACATAGTACTCCATTAGTAGTGAGTAAAACCATGAACAGGTTTACATGCATTATCATTTATACTTTGATGAACATACTCAAAAGGAGAACAAAACAATGTTGGTAGGATTGAGGGGAGCCGTACATGATTTTTAGTGATATAAGACTTGGCTTTTAGCATCATTCCATACAAGGCACTACCATGTCATTTCTATGCTTTGGAGGAAGAACTCATTGGATCACACTACATGAGGCCCAAAGGTGGCTCAAATACATTCACAGCCTCATCTGCCTGCACTTTTATCAAGCTACTGCAAGGCAAGCTAGCAGAAGGACGTGGAATGCTTTACTTTTCTGTACAAACAGCTTGTTTCTGTCAAAAACACTCTCACTAACTGCCATTACCACTCTATTGAGATCTAATGCAAGTCCAGGTGAATGGGACTGGGGCATTTACAAAATACAATCATGCACTGGAAATCCACACTCTGGTCTTCATCATGGTAATTTGCTCTAGAGCAGGGCTCTGAACTGACAAAAGCCACAAGGTACGTGGGAATCAAAGAAGGTATTTTGGGAGGAGAAAAAGAAAGCATCTACTGGAGTGCATTTTGAAATGAAACATGTGCTTAGGTACCTTGCTAAAGAAAAGTGATAAAATTTGAAATCTCAATGAGCACACCAAGAGCCAAATACACAAATCCAGCATCAGAATTTGGCCTCTTTTTAGTGGGAAGAGTTTTACATCCTGGTTCACACTGGGGGTAATGAGCATTTCTTTAAACAAATGAAAATGTACTGTAAAGTAGATTCATCTGCTTCTTACTCCAATAAGAATCTTGAGTTACTCTTAGTCAGATTTGTGCCTTGAGCCATTGCACATCTAACCCAGCTGCCATACTGAGAATTATGAGCATGCCCTTCTTTCGCCAGCAGAGCTGAGAGTCATGACCAGCCCTGAGGGCAACTGGGCCTCTGCCCACCCACCAGAACTACCTGCCTGGGACCCAACACTGGCAGACTTGCTCGTAACCAGTCCACACTTCACGGGGGCTTGAACACCCAGCCAAGATGATAATTTCTCCCCATCTCAATTTTGTATTTTAAAAGAAGCTTGCTGAAACAAAATTGCACTTAAATTTTTCTTCTCATGAATTACTGGCCTTAAAAGGCAGCAATCACAAAAGCTTAACTGGTGGCTGCTTCAGTGGCTTTAAAAAGATGCCGCAAGTAAGAAAATTTCCACACAAGACATCCAAGGTAAAAGCTACATCTAGAAGTTTAGTCTTGTCAGGACAATTTACCTCTCCTGCCGTTCTTTTCACTGTGACTGCCACTCTGCACAGTCAGTTGTGAACAAGTGATTGGGTAGTAACCTGTCCAGCAACACAAGCTGAAAATATACCAGGGAAACGTAACCAGCTGGTACCTCGGTTGCTCTGGAGCATGAACGTGTTCTGGGTGATGCCCTGTTGAAATGGCTAATTCCATTTAATTTTGCGCCCTGGCTCTGGCTGCGTCCTTTTCCTCCTTAGTTACTGTCAGATCATGGATTGCAGCTTTTGACAAGACAGCGAAGGGAAAAAGGTCAGCACTGAAAGCACCGGGCGGCGCTGGCAGCGAGATGCTGGGTTGGAGCTGGTGTGCACTGGCTGGGCTGTCGGCTCCGCTTCTCTGCCTCTGATGAGAAGCTGACTGCTTGCATCCACACCTGGTACTTGATGTGGCCACTAGGATGCCACATCCAACAAAACCCTTCAATCACGTCTGTGTACCATAAGCATAATCAAAGCAATGATGCTGTCAAACGGGATATGAGGCACCTCCGATTCTCCACTGATAGCCTGTTTACAGGCTGCATGTCTTGGTCACTTTAAATCAGAGGGAGCAGGAAGGACCCAACTACACTGCTCCACATTGGGGACAATGAATTTGCAGGGTCAAAAAGCATTAAACATCAGATAGCTGTCACCATATGACGAGATCAGTTTGTAACTGGATTTGCCAGATAGCTTCGTCACAGAAAGCCAGAGTCCCAACTGGAATTGTCAACACACACAAATTGTTCCATAAACATTTCACTAAACCTCTGGAAGTCAAAAATTAAGCCAAGATCACCAGCAATCACCAACACAGCAGCAACTAGGAGAACACTTACAAGGAGGGGCTCAAACCCTGCTTTAAGCCCTGATCATCCCTTGTTTCCACTGAGCCACACAATACCCTCACAATCCATAGCAAATTGTAAAAATTACTAGCAATGCTAAATAAAGGCTAAACCAGTTATCCCCTCCTCACTCAGATAAGTTTCATACAAAAAGTGTGGACAGACATATTTCAAGGCTGTAAATAGACAAGTATCTTTGCTGGAGAATGTGATAATACATTGCACTCTCTCCAAAGGTCCATTATTTTTCAATCATAATTTTGAAATGAAAAATTCTATTATGTATTTAAACAAACAAACACTCCTAACCTAAACAAGGAGGAATGGGGAATTCCTAGAAAATGTTATGCTCTAATTTTCAGCCAGTGGGTACATATACCATGAAAGTGTATGTATATGTTGATGCAGGTTTCAGTGGCTATAGATCTTGAGACAATACGTTATCAGTAATTACCTAAATTTAAAATGCATAAAAATTCTGACAATAATGCAAAAAATAGTGAAGCCTATGAAGTAAAGTCCAAATGAAGCACATTAAAAAAATAAACCACATTACACATAGAGTAACACTATAGCTGTCCAGTGAACTGAACTCAAGATCTGGATTCACACTACTATGAAAAAAAGTTGCTTATTCCCAGGAGATTCCTTCCAGGAGACAGAGGTGCACAAATCTAAAAAGATGTACCTCTAGTTATGTTGAAGTAAGTGGGATAATAAAGGATAATAAATCTAAGCACAAATGTAAATATTTGTAGCCTCATGCTGTAAAACCTCTTGCAGGAGGTAATTCCAGCTGTGGCTTGTGGGATAATGATAAATGCTATCACAGGCGTGATTATTAGTGCTCAAGGTTTTAATACTTTAAATACCATGGTATACAAACAGTGCACATCATGTGGAGCTGCAGCCTTGGTTTCCTCCTCTTTTCAAGCTCTCTGCTGCTCCTTCAAGCACAGAGATTGGGCAGCAAAGCTTCACCATGTGCCAGCCCTTGCTGGGCCAACATAGACAGAGCAAACCTCAGAATTCAAGTGAAAGAAGCACCGATACCTTGCCAAATCAGCACCACCAACCAAAGACTGATTCTCCCCAATTTATATTGGTCTTGTTTGAAAGCCACAAAGACAATGAACAATTCTACAGATCCAAGTAAGGTAACAATATTGTTTGAGCTGTGTTGCCTTTTTTTAAATTTTTTTTTCAGGGCAAACTATTTTTAAAGTGTACTTGTGGAATTTTAATCACATTTGTCAAACTTATTACCTAGCAAGCTTAGCAAAAAATGAAGTGATTTGATATGCTGAAATATATTAATTTTGTTGAAATAATATTTTTTTTGAGAATTTATTTTCTCAAATACATTATAAAAATATTTTCAACATGCCATTTGAAAAACATTGTTTCCAGTTCAACTTTCCCATATTCTTAACATTGCCCCAAACAGTTTCAAGAATACTAAAATCCCTTCTATTGGAATACTCATATTTTTATGTAGCTAAAGGCATTTTTGTTGAGCAGGATGGTTTGTAATAAGCTTTGCACAAAGAATTGTCAGGTATACAATTAGTAAGCAAAAATATGACAGTATCATTATGAAATAAAAAGCTTTAAGTGTCAAAGTTTTAAAACTGTTTTCTCCTACACAACTCCAGAACACTTTTAAAAGTAAAATCATTGCTTTAAATTTTCTACAGATGAGATTTTACATCTAGTCCACAATAATATACTTAGGAATAATTCAAGAGACACAATGATGTTCATGTTAAGTTGAAACATTCATGGTAAGATCATATTGAGATTGACATGTGGAAGTGAAGAGTGAACAATTTCTCTTCTGTGATACTAAATTTTTTCTGAGTTCCATATTTTATCTGTTTTCAAGGTCAGCTTTCATGCATCATTGCCATTTTTTATGTGCTCCTTTTTACATTGTATAAGGAAATGAACACAAGACACTAGAGCTAAATAACCGTGCTGAAAAACTGTACCTTCCAGCAAACTTATGGTGTCACTCTTACTCTGCTGCAATAGCCTCTAAAGTAGAAAAAAACTCAACAAGAGAACTGCTAACATAAACCAGAACAAATCCAAGTTAAATATACTAGGCATGAAAGGCACGAAATTATCAACAACTCCTCTGGGTATCCTTCATGTTTACCACAAAGAATAATGTTTTTTTCAGATAAATAAAACATTAGCATTTTGGAAATCACAAGAGGTTTCTTGGCCTATGCAGCAAATTATATTTGGTTCAATAAAGCTTGAATTTCTGTAAACGTTTTGCAAAATCTTGTTCTAACTGCTGACAAGTCCCAGCAGATGCCAGGAATGCAATCTTTCCAGAAATTTGTGAGATATTGCCTTTAGACCCTGAAATACCTCTGTCAGTCTGGCTTTACATTACTTTTCTTGTCTCTCCCTCTCTGATTTTTTAAAAAATGGTATCCTCAATTGCTCAGTTTTGTTGCCCCTGTCAGCTCTCCAAGCTGGTACTCGGCCACAGCAGCTACATGTTTATTGTCAGAATGCTTTTCTCAAGATGAGAAGGAAATGTAGGGCTTTAGCCATGGCCTGAGAGGATGCTCTAACACATCCACAGGCTTCAGCTCCAGTACCACATTAGGTACTTACTGACCTTTCATCAGTGTCATTCATTTGCCTAACACACTGTTCTTGTGGAAACTTACCTCCTGCACAAACACTGGATGGTTCAGCTGCCAGGATCTCAATGCAAGACTTCTTCAGAATCTGAAAGATTTAGATAAAGGCATTTTTTGGTAACCATTTTCATCTATGCTGTCTTAATGCAGGGAAGGATAGCCTTTACTGTATTTCAGAACATCCAACTTACTGAATCAATGGTTCCTCTTAGGGCATAAAAGCCTCCTTTAACTGGAAAAACATGATCGATGCTGTCAGCAATCGTTGACAGCTGCAAAGAAAGACAATCATAAATCATGAGGAAAACAAAATTACAGTGAACAAAACTGGGCCCTTTCATACTTGCTAACAGACATCACAGTGACACGAAATGATTTATGCCCCAAGTGATTAAATAAATGCCTTCATCTGATGCTGTTCCTTGTGCAGTAGCGTAACAGAAAAACACAAGAGAAAATAAGCAAGTTACCTGAGTTTCATTGAAATCTTTCACTCCAACACAATAAACAGTAGCTCCAAAGCTTCTGGCTCTGTTGGCCTAAAAAACCCAAGAAGTGCCATTAAGTGCAAAGCTGTGTAATCAGTGGAGTCAGCAGTAAATGTGCACAGGTGTTGGAGGTTTAGATGACATAAATTAGTTTGGATAAAGACAGAAGTGACTTACTTCTTGCTCTGCATAATAGAACTGAGCGTCTTGCAGCTCGCCGTCCGTCAGGGCAATGATCACGCTGGCGGTCCGAACTCCTGCGTGGAGGAAAGTCAACAACAGATTGCACACACATGGCACAAGATTCAGCAATGGAAAAAAACCTCTGCAGTGAGGCAATCCTTTTCACTGACAAATAAATACAAAGCCCTAAGCCAGACTCTCAGCCTGGTCTGTATGGACTTGGTGAGACACCAGCTGAAGGCCAGATGCAAGGCTTGCAACGAGCCAAAACCCGAGCACCTTCACACCACAGCATCACTGCAGGGGGAGTGCTGCTCTAACCAGGTCCACACACCAGCTTTTCTGTTCTGAATAAAATAGAGCAGCTACCAAGATGACAGACACGTGGAGAACTGACAAAATGGGTTCACACAGGAGAGGTTTCCCCTCTTCTCTTGACAAACTTGTCTCTACATAAACATTGTCCAGAGACTGCGGTAAGAGATACTTCTGCAAAAGGATCTTTCCTGCCATCCTACCTTTCCCTCCAGCAGGCTCTCAAAGAGCAACCCCACGGAGCATGGCATGAAATGGGCTTCTACAGGGAGGTCAGTCCTACAGTTCTCCAGAAACAAGAACTTCCAGTGAAATTCATAGGATTCTGAGCATGTGGAAACCTTAAGATCAGGTTCATTAGGGCAAAAATCATGTATTGTCATACAACATTTTATATCCCAACCCTTCACTTAAATGAAAAGGTTGCATAGACTGCAGAGATGTATATATGTAATGCAGTATAGAATACAATGCTACCTAGAAAAATGCAACCAGTTAACACAATTAAACCAAATTAACATTCAAACTATGGTTCAACCAACCTTAGAGTCCACAGCTCTTAAGCAGAGTAACAAATACACATACATGTTACTTTCAGGCAAGTATTTGTTATCTTTTCAAAATAATCTGTTACAATTTCAAGTGTCTTCCTCCATACTGTCTGAAATTACAGACTGATTAGTTCTGACAGGTTTCTTATGCCACACGGTCCTTCCCATGCCATGTCAGACACAGACATAAATCTTAAAAAAATGACCTGCAACTTGGGGGAAAAAATAGCTTGGATTCCTTTTTTTTTTTTGTGCCCAGAACACTTGAAATATGCTTAAAAAACTGGAGTTCTTATTTTGTTTTCTTTTCAATGCTTGTTTCTTCCCAGGTAGCTTAGCTTCTAGATCCAGATCTCATCTACTCTTTTTCCTTCCTAATTCAATTTACAGAATACTTGATTAGTTCTTAGCTATATGTTATAAAGTAGAATTGTTTTCAGTTGGACACTTCAGGACTCCTGATTTTACTGGCAGAAATGCTGCAACACTGTGCAGAGCTGCTGCTCCTACACTCAGTCTATTTTAATAAAAAGGCACTGACCCATTTCTCCATCTTCCTAAGAGACCATGAGCCCACAAATGAGAACAACCTCACACCAAGGTATGAACTAAGTCTTGTTAACTAACTAGGTCTTCTTTTGGCACAGAAAAAACCACAAATACACTTTCCTCTTAAAATCTAGTGAAAATGCACATTTTAGCAACTCAGAATCTGAACAAAAATCATTCATACTGATGCAAAACTCTCATTCATACTGATGAGGACAAGGATGTGGGACCACAAAGCAGAGAGGACTGAGTGCATCAGGATAGAAAGGACCAGGAAAATGTGGGAATTCCTGCCTGCTGGGTGCAAGATGGGCAGCTCTGACTGCTATGGTTTGGTCTGCATTCTGCAATGGCCGGATCTGGGATCATATTGGTCTTCTCTGATCTCAATAAACCATGAATCACCCATTTAGGAGTAGGGCTGCAGTCAAAATGGAATGTGGTGTTGCATAACAGCCCTTCTTCTCCAGCACTTCTGTCAGTGGGTTTACTGCAGGTCACAAAAAGAACCATAATCCCTCAGTCTCCTCAATGCAGACATTAACATGAATGCTGCACAGCACATACCTCCATAGGTCTCATGGTAAATCTGCTCATTTGCCTGCAATGAAGTGCAGAACATGGTTAGCTCATAAGAATACCAGCAGCAAAGTTTCTAGGTGTAAAACAAAGGAAGTAGGTACTGTGATGTGTACCCTTTTAAATCCTTCATGCATGAATGTGTCTCCTCCAGGCAATTCTTCCTTAAGAATGTCGAGTCCTCGTCTTATGGCTTCCCTTTGGATTGAAAAAAACCAAACACAAATAAACAAAAAAAATCCCAGGAAAATGTTTTATTAGAAGTTTTTTTTTTTCTTTTGTTGAGATATTCCTGTACCACAGCTAGATTATGCAGCCTGTCAATCAAATGCACAGAGTGCATACACATCAGCTGGAACACTGGCTGAACCACGATTTTTTTTGAAGTCCACAATTTATCACCCAAACACCCATGGGAGCACAAAACCAGACACAGGGTACAGCATTAGGGCAACATATTTCAAAGATGAAGTTCTGTCCCTGCTCCCTCATTCCTGTATATTCTCAGCCAGGATAAGATTGAATTAAAGCCAATGCCAGATATTAAACTTTAATAAACTGGAGAACAAAACAGAGTATAAAAACTTATGACCCTGTCACAAAATTGGGACAAATTAAAGCTCTGTATTGAATCAGTCATCAGGACAGTCTGGATTAGGATTTTTCCATTTTAAAAAAGTGGCCAAAAGATAAGAGACTGGGATGGGAATGAGGAGAATTTCCTATCCTAGACCAGGGACTCATCAGCCTTCCTGGGTCATAGATTACTCCTGGACACAGAAGCACTTGCATGCCATGACCCCTGTTGCATAGCTTCTTACTCCCCAAATACCTATTAACCAAAAAGATTGTTCAGGGACATTAATAATTTAACTGATCGCTGACCACCAAAAGACCCTGATCCTTGACAAGGGTTTTCATCATATTAATGGAACACAAGGCACAAATATTCAACAGATAAGACACAGGCGGCTCAAACATCAGCTCCAGATGCTGTGGGGCAGCCTTTAAGAGAATAGTGAGAACCTTTCTAAACTCCATTTTGCAACCAGGTATTTTAGGTGGCACAACCACAACTACAGAGAATACAGGAGCCTATATGGGATGAAGGTAAAAATCAGGAGCTTGGATTGGGGATGCCCTTAGTGCAAAAAGCACATTTTTTCTCTTTTGAAGCATAAAATGAGCTGAAAAGGCACACTGATCCGTACAGAGAGTAGGATTTAAGGACAGAGAACACTCTAATACCATGTTCAACATATTGAACTTTCTACCTTGCAAAGAGCAAATTCACCCAGAGAAAAGTAAGCAATTTTGAGCTCTGCCACCAAGATACATGATGGAGACCTGAAACAAAAGCTCAGGAAAGCCAGCAGAAATGCAAGAGCCCTGCAGGGTGTCTGGCTTAGGATGAGTCCCTGGAGTACAAAGTTGAGGGAGTAGCTGCTCTTCCTGCTCCAGAGTTCCCACGATTTATAGGGTGCCCTGTACTACTGAGGCCCTCTCACACAGACAGGAGCAGCAAAGGTGAAGGCTTGAAGCTGAAATGAAAGAAAATATTTAGAAACACCCAGATGACAGGGATTTGTATATGTAGAGGAAATTAAATTTAAAAATAACCTTTTGGAGTGGGGATTTTTTGTGTTGGGGCTGTTTTCAGCGGTGATTTGGAGGTTTTTATTCACTTATTTTTTAAAGAAAGAAAATTTGGTTGTGAATCTGGCAACCAGAATCTTTCTCCACTTTTTCTCCTACAAAGACTGTCACTTGGCTTTGCAAAGCACCTCTGGCACGGGTGCTGTTTGCAGGCAATCCAGGAGAGGGGTGCCACAGCCTGGTGAAGTCCTGCTCCAGCACTAGGGACTACCTGGTGTAAAGGTCAGGGCTCTGAGTCCCTTCCAAGGGCACTGGGGATCTTTCATACACTCCTTTGCTCACCAGTTCAGGGTCTGAAATCTCTTCCACAAAAGCTTCCTTATTTGGGTAGCTGGGGATAGCAAGTATGTACTGGGATCTTCAACTGGAAATGCAATTTCTCCCTGAAATACCACAGCAAAGAACATACAGCCCAATGCTGCCTTTCACAAAGCTGAAAAGAGAATTGAAATGGGACACCCCAAGGCCTTCTAAACATTCCTCCAGCAGGGAATGGAGGAGAGGGTTTCAGCTGTTGCCACACAAGGACCAAGACAGACCCCAAACTCTGGGTGTGGGGCCATGTGCTGTGTGAGAGGAGGGACAGAGGGCGTTTCTGGAGCAGGGCAGCGGGAGGAACTTGCCTGTTCTCTGTCAGCTTCATGATCGTAGTGCCCCGTGAAGAGAACACAATGAAGGACATCCGCAGCATTGGGCTGAAAGAGAAAAACAAGCCAGATCCACATCACACTCCTTACCTCAGCAGAAATTCATTTGCTAATAAGCACTAAACAGAAAAACAGATCATGCACAGGAAATTAAAGATTTAAAAAAACTTTACCTTATGAATTTCTCAGCTAGGCTTTCCACAAAGGAGTAAATCTCAGTCCAATGATTTTTGACACTTCCAGATCTGCATACAAAACATAACAGATTACATGAAGCTTTCTTTGCAATGCAATTCCTTGTTCCACTTTGAATTTTAAGCCTGGCCTACTCCAGAGCTGGTTAGGGACACAAATTACATAGAGTTGTGCTGAAAGCTGTAATAAGAACCATGATGACAAAACCCACTGACTCCAAGACAAGGAGTAAAAGGTCTGAAATGGCTTACCATTTTTGAAATTACAATTTTGAAACAACTCAGTAGTCCTTCCATTTCCTTTTGTTCCTTTTATAGCATAAAATATAAATATTTTCTTCTAGTTTAATTAATTTTATTTGACTTCATTAAGTTATCTGCTATCAGATTATTTGCTTTCCTAGAGCACAGCTCTGCCCTTGCACCACACACAGAGAATCTTGACTGATCTTCTATCCTCCCAGAATGCATTGGAGAAATTTTTCCACGAATTACTATTTCTTTCAAAAGAGAAAGCAGTACTCTTGCCTAATTTGCTGGAGTAATGCTCTGGACAGTCAAGCCCTGGCTTCATTATGGATTTCTTGTGAAAACTTGCACAACTTAGTTACATGCAGAAGACTTATATGCCAAGACTTACTTCTACTGCAGAAGACATCCATGCTGCCACTTCCATTATATAAAACTGTATTACTGGCCCTCCCTGGCTTTTTTCCAAGTTTAAGCAGAGACCCCCACAGTCTGATGGGACTGAGACCTCAAACAGAGCCTTGCACACAGCAACCCTACAGTAAATTATTGATTTCGACCATGTTGATTTTACCATACACTTTCAAGACATTAAAAAGGCTACAAAACATGAAAGTCAATGGTTTTTAAAGCCCTCCCTAGGATTGTGGTGTTTATGAAAGAATGACCCATTTGCTTTCCTTGCTTGCTGAACTCATCTATCAGGTGTCTCAGGCAGATAAAAAGAGATAAATGAAACAATGGACACACAAAAAATCACAGGGGCTTTGATGCAGAACTGAAAAAAAGTTCTGAAATTCATGTACTATATAGCAATAGGATTCCTCAAACTGCTGTTAGGCATTTTTCTGTGTAAACTTGAGGAAAAAGTACATTTTACTATTCTCAGTTCTGCTATGGGCTTTCCAAGCAATCTTATGCCAGTTCCTCCTGCCCTTGTATGTCAGGCACAGAAGCCCACATGTGCAATGCAGGATGGCACTGCCTGCCCTGCAGCACTGCTGGTGGAGTGGACAAGGGGTAGACAAAGGGACAGGACCAAGGAAGCCTCCTGAAGTGCACAAGCTAGAATAAATTGGCTTGTGTAACCCTGTGCTTTCATGCTGCTCTTCTGGAGAACTGGTGATTCATTCACAGAACAAACTAGTTAACAAAGAATGAAGAAATTTCCAGGCAGCAAGGGGGGGCAAGGAAACACTGGGAACTTCTCAAACCACAGCTCTGGATCCTCTGCAGTCCCCAGTTTGTATGTGCCACACAACAACAGGTTTATCATCTGTGAACAGCACCAATGAAAGGTGCTGGCACTATTACCTAATTAACTCCATCAATACTCTATAGCTCTCCAGGATTTTTATTAAAGTCCCATGCTGAATATCTAAACATGGTGAAGTCAAAAATTCCTTGAATCCATCCAAGATGCATCTATAGCTCCCAAACTTCTCTAAAATACTTTCCCCCTCAGCCCGCCCCGAAGCTGACACTTTCAATTTCATTCTCAGCTTGCCATCTGACTTCAATTCAACTCCTGAAATCTTCAATGAAGTCAATGCCCCTCACAGAATAACCATAATTTCTTACTTGGTAAAGACTGACCTATTTTACATGAACTATCAAATTTCTACTGCCAGCTGTAGAGGCACTGATGCAATCCAGAAAAAAGTAGCAGCACATTTTCTTCCAAACTGCAACAAACCATTTCCAGTACCTTCTTAGGATGGTCAGAATTCCTTCTTTTTTCCTTTTTTCTCACTTCTTTTTTTTTCTTGGAAAGGGTACAGCCAGGAGGAGAACTGACTGTAATAAATCAGTAGGTGCCCATCCCTGAAAAACTAGGGAGGTCTGTGTCATGGATTAGTCCTCACTGGAAGTGTACTGGGCTCTCAGAGCGCCCAGCTCTACATCACAGAGGTACAGCCCTGCAGAGCAGAGTTACTTCAGTGCAGCAGTGGAGGAATTCCTAAGAGGAATTCTGCACCGACATGTTGCTAACTGGCTGGGAAGTGTCAGAAGTATCCAATCTATCAACAGGGAAAAGTCAAGGCCAGACAAAAATGTAAGTTTTAAAATCCCATAGAGGGAGTACCAGGGAAGTGGTCAGCATTTAATCACTTCTCCACACTCCTCCAAGCCCAGGTGTCACCTCCCACTGCAAGTGGTACCAAAATGCCATCAATGCCAGTCATGTCAAAGCCCTCATGAACACCACTGGGAGTGGCCTGGCTTAGAGAAGAACCTGATTTACCCTCCCCTCTTACCCAAGTATCCCTCTAAATATCCATGTTCGTAAAGCTATTTGTAAAGGACTTTTATTTGCCACTTCATGTGTCTGTATGTATATATATATAGATATAGATATATATATATATAATATACGAAGTTGTCAAATGCCATCAAATATGAGATCCACTATTGACAAACAGAACTGCCCCACACTATTGAAAATCCTGAGCCATTTCACTGCCTTTGGAACCTTATCTTCCACACTGCAGAATCACTGTTATTATCAGCATAAACTAACTTGCTACCCTTTGTGGCAGGACCAGACCAAGAGAAGAAATGAAGCCTGCCAAAGACCAGCACTGTGCACAAAAACATTGGGGTGTGACAGACACTCATCAGCACCTGGGACAAGCCATGGGGAAGTGACACAGACAAGGAATCTTATATAGGCTGTTGTGGAGGTTTGTACCAGTTGGGCCACCACGACAGCACGGTGGCTGTCTGCACTGTATTGCAGCAGATGCATCTCTGACATTTCCTGCCTTCAGCCATCAGACACCTGGTTCAGCCCCTCACATCAACCAAAGGCTGCCACCACCCTGCTGGGCCCTGGCCCTCCTCCCTGCACCTTCTCTGCTAGGAAGCCCAGCCAGCCTAATGCTCTCTGCAAAGCAGTGGGGTAGCACAGGAGCTCTGAGGGTAGTGACTTAGCTGACCTGCTGTTTGTGCACCTTTCAGAGTCAAAGCAGGATGGTGAGGCTTTAGCCCTCAGAGGTGATATAATTCTCAGGGTAAAGGAAAGTACACAGCAACAAACAGCTGCTGTGGGAAGCTGGAATGTTCCAGAAAGCATCTCAGAGCCTGTTTCTGCTGCTGCTTTCACTGGGGTAAACCTGGAATGGGACCAGAGAAGCAGCCAATTTCCTCAGGTTTATCCCTATGCAATTGGAACAAGAATTCAGCCCAAGTGAAGTTAAAAAACCCCACAGAAGCCATTTGCCTTGAGCATGCTCCCAGCTCTGTGAGCTCTGTTCCCATTACACACAAGACAAAGAGAAAAGTCAGCAAACCACAACACAGGAAAAAATGTCCTCCGGGCCACATCAGGACTGGGCTCAGAGGAGCAGCTGCTGCTGCTGTTTTCCTTAGTTTTATATTGCTACTGCTGGATGGAAGGGGAAAAGAGGAGGTCAGTGAGTATTTCTGGGGGTGGAAGGAAGTGATGTGATTCCAGGGCTTGATTCCACTCCTGCCAACTTTGGAGTGATTCCTTCTGGTTTAGCAGAGCTCTGTGTCAGCATAAAAACCCTGAGCATGTTAGAATTGTGCCCACCCAATCTGAAGTATTTCACTGATGTTTGTGAAGACAAAGAGCCAAGATAGGTTGGAAACTTTGTCTTCTTTCCTGACAGACTCCCAGCAGCAGTGGAAGCTGGAGCCTGGCGAAGTGAAGCAGCACAAGGCTGGCATAAAGGGTGCCACTCTCAGCCCAGTCACTTCAGCAGGAAAACAGCAGGAGGGTCAGTTGTGTCTGTCCTAGAGCACATGTGTTCCACAGCCTCTGCTGAATTCACTGTCAGGAGTATGTATGGATCCACCCAGCGCAATGTACAGCAGTCCCCTGGCTTTGTGGTGAAAGTTAAAACCCCAACACTACCCAAAGGGTAAATATTTTCATTACCATATGTACACAGAGAAGGCAGCAGGACCCAGAGCCTTTCATCCCTGCTGAAAGTGACAGAGCGAAACCCCTTGAAAGCACAGAGCTGCCCCTTGTCCTGTTTCACACATACACCCACACACACACACACACACCATGCCTATTTGCCTCCATTACAGATTAGCTGAAGGCAGCAATTCCAGACACCCTGGAGCAAGTAAAAGAAGCATTATTACTGATGCTGGGTTTAGTCTGAATATGGTTTCAGGGGAGTACAAGACCACCTAAGTTTGTAGGTCCCTCTAAGTCTCTACCCTCTTGAGCTAGTGGTGGCCCTGTACATGGTCCACTGCTCACAAATGTGACACTGTTGTTATTTGGAGGGCTCTTTGTGGTCACAACCACATTGTACAACAGAATTCTTGCACATGGCTAATAATGGCTCTGCAATAAAAGCAAACCCTGGGGCACTGAGTTTGTTGTGGTTTCAGACATGCATGCCCAAGTGTTCATCCACCCCTCTGCTCCCTTCTGAGCCACCAGAGCATTCAAAGTGACAAGAATCCTCCTCTCCCAAACAATGCATCTTCCATGCAGGGAAGGGACCTTGACTGGCTGATTCATCCAGGCAAGGAAGGACTAGTTTCCATCATCTGCTCCAGAGGCAATTAGAAACACGGGCAGAGACAGCCATTCTGAGACAGTCCTTGCTTCAGAGTACTTGTAACATTAATGGACAAGACAAGGGCTGGAATGGGGAGGGGAAGATGCAGAGAGGTGGCTGCAAAATGGCTTTTAATTCTAGGCCAGCACCCAAGTACAGGACCCAAACTACTTGAATCCAAAAATTTCATGACCAAACCCATGAATTTCGTTGCTAGTTTTTGTCCTAGGGATAAAGTCTGCAGCAATATGACAG